GCCAGTCTCCAGACCTCAATCCAATAGAACATCTTTGGAGGGAGCTTAAACTCCGCGTTGCTCAGCGACAGCCCCGAAACCTGACAGATCTAGAGGAGATCTGTGTGGAGGAGTGGGCCAAAATCCCTGTTGCAGTGTGTGCAAACCTGGTCAAGAACTACAGGAAACGTTTGACCTCTGTAATTGTAAACAAAGGTTTCTGTACCAAATATTAACACTGATTTTCTCAGGTGTTCAAATACTTATGTTCAGCAGTGCAAGACAAATAAATTCTTTAAAAATCATACTTGCAAAATCGCAGGGTGTTCAAATACTTCTGTTCCTCACTGTATTTGGGAGACCCATGCACACATGAGCCAACAGTGGAGGAGGTCTCACAGGAAACCAGCAAGTCACCCACCTTGGCACAGTGCAGGTCCTTATGCTTCTTCAGCAGTTTATCTCCCTGCTGTATGGCCTTTTTATTGTTGCCATTGTCAAGGTAATCTGGGGAAACAAGCAATGTTATATTGAGGATATTACACCTGAATTGTTTTCCATACACTGTGTATGCCCAGAGTTTGAGAGCTGCACTGCAACAATTATTTCCAGTTCATGTTAAAAGATGGTCAGTAAAAGATGCTATCACAACTTTGCAGAATCAAACATGAAAACTTTGTCTTGTCCTGTTTTGTTTGACCAAAAGTCTAAATACCAAACATTAATGCAGCTATAATAAGAGCATACGAGAGGCTGGAAACAGAATATGTGACTTACTTTTGATTGCAAAATAAGAAATAATACATTGATTATTAAAAAAAGCTGAATAATTTGGTTCAGGTCTAAACTCAACCAGCCCCAGCTCTACTTACACATCAGTGCATAACAACAATTACCAAACATGCTCACAGAAACAACACCGTGCGAGTCCATGATCTCTGTCATCGTCTCCGGGAGCTGTGACAGCTCCATGCTAGCTGGCTAGCACTGGAGTTAGCTCGAAGCACTGTAATATTGTGAACCTGATGCTTGCTGGAAGCTAACCGTGTTAACATTTAGCTAGCTACAAAGCAGCAACTGATTCAGCTTGGAACTGGACAGCGAACCTCGACGAAAATTCACGTCAGCCTGAGGGACACAGCCCAAATCTCACAATAAACAACTTTCCGTTTTAACATGTATACAGCTGCAACATGACCATGGCTAGCTGACACATTATCAAGCTAACGTTTTAAGCTAGCTGTCAAATAACGACGGCTAACGTTAGCAAACAAGGAAAATCCTCGACTTTGACAATGAACGGGACAATAAAACGCTCCAGTGCTATACCACCATGGATGTCTACAGGTTTAACCCAGAGACCCTTTATGGTGGTCGTGTCCTGCCCCGGCTCGGCAGCAGAGCGGGTAAGCTGCACTGTCATTGGGCGCTGCAGGCAGCGGAGTCCGTGGTTGAAACTGGAGGGGCCGCACAACTGCCCTTCCAGCAGCCTCTGATTTAAACGCCCGCTCCAGTACAGAACATGACACTACTGAACAAAGGTCAAAACACACATAGGTGTGTAACTTCCCATTGAGTCCTCACCGTATATGGGTCTGAGCCTCCTGTCGTTGGGATCCTGCACATGGCCTCTCGCCGCCATTGTGGAGTTTACCTGCTGGCCCAGTGTTCACACATGCGCACTGCGACCTGCCTCAAGGAGCGCTTCAAGAATATTTCCACACAACTAGAGAGATGCGTTTCCTGTCAAAAATGCGTGTGGATGCTGAAGGATCGCCCTGAAAATGCCTGAAATCAATTGCTGAAAGAGCTGAAGGTTGAGAAGAAATGGATGAAGTTCTTTGTTGAAATAGCTGAAGGATGAGATGCAATGCTGAACAACTGTGGAAGTTGAAAAATGTTGAATAAATATGAAAAAGGAAAAGTTCAATAATTACTTTATGTAAGATGAAATCAAACGCTGAAGTTGTGTGTCCTCACAAAGTAGGGAAAACAACGTGTGTGTGTGTGCGCGCGCGCAGTCCCCACACAGTAAGAAAAACAAATAGGGTAAAGTCAGAAATATGTGTGCCAGCTTCTGCTCTTGTGCCACCAAATTGGGCACACTCGTGCAGTCAAAATTTGATTTACAGGGAGGAGACACAATCCACAATCCTGTGTCTCTAAAAGGGCACAGACAGGGCAGCTTAAAAGTGGGTGGTGTGGAGTAAAATTATTAACAAAGTTATACTCTAGGATTAGTTCTAACATTTGATTGAATTAAGTACTTATTTAGTAGAAGATTGACACCATGATTGTTGCTTATTTAACCTGTGTTCACTTGTGTATGACTATTCCATCATATTACAAAAGGAATAGTTAAGATTTTATTTTAGAATATATAAGTTCACATACTTATATGTCACAGTTATGTTTACATAGTTACATATCACCTTATGTGTTCACTGAACCACTGGTTAATATTTACTGTATTAGTCACTGAAGCACTGTTCAACATTATAGGGTCTTGTCCACTAAATCAGTGGTCACCAACCCCCGGGCCGCGGACCGGTAACGGTCCGTGGATCAATTGGTACCGGGCCGCACAAGAAATCATTAATTATTTCCGTTTTATTTATTATCTGAGTCTGAACGATCTTTTATTTTGAAAAATGACCGCATTCTCTCGGTTACATCTCGGTCACTTGAGCGCCAAAACTGGCTTACTTGTG